TTTGGGTTTTGTTTTTAATTTGGGGAAAAAATTCCCCCCCCCCCCCCCGCAAAGGCAGCATCTGTAACTAAAAAAAGTTTGAGTGTAGCATAGATTAACTCTTGAAGTTCTAGCAATCTTGTATATAATATATAGCTACTTGGCTAACAAATAACTCATTCTTTCTCTAGTTAGAACCAAGCCAACTCTTGCCTCTTGATTACTTCTAAGATTGAGAGTTAGAGATTTATTATACAGTGACCTTTTGTTCCTTTAGGATGAAAATAATTTGCTCTAATTTTGGGAGACGACAACTGTAGTACTGAAGTGTCTGTTAAGTTAGTTTAAAAAATAAAGCTATGTTCAAACTAAGGGGTAAAATTTACCCCTACTACTTATAAAGCTTTTGGGAGAGTCCAGCTTTAATCTCCTGCTAAGAAAAAATAGGCTATAAAATAATCCCTTCAACATCTCTCAAAAACTCTATATAGGTCTGGTAGATTAGCAAGCTGCAAAATGTTGCCATCTTCTGTGAAGTGTTTAGGAGGTAAAAGATGGGTCCTTAAAGCTTTGTAAACAATATGTTCCACGGTCCATTTCCATGTTTTTGAACCTGAATCAAGGTCTTCATTCTAAAAGAAATTAAAGACGGAACTATTACATTTTTTGCCAAAAATCTACACTTATAAAGCTTGTTTTTTTCAAAAACTAAATTTTTCCGGTTATTAAAGAGACTTAATTTTATTCTTCAGTATTAGCTCATATAGGAAGATAAGTGAGTAATTAGAATACTGTGACCTACAACAACTCACCACCCAGTTCTAAAATACTTGGGGGAGGGCATCAGAGCTTGAACATTATTAAAAAGCTTCCTGCAAGCATTTGGCTGTAAAAACTGGTAACTACAGGTAACCCATACTTTTTCCTGGCCAAGCTTTAATGTTTTTAGTAGAAGATAAAGTTTAACGCATATTATATTACTCTTGCTTGCACAGCTCAGGATCTGAACTCACATAGTGGCTTACTAAATTCCAATGTGTTTTCCAAAGAAGTTAGCTAAGCATGCAAAAACATCTCCAAACAACTTCTATCGAGTCATTAATCCAAGGCATGTTTCCAAAAATGTTCAAGTCTTCACCTTTTTGTCTTCTTTGGAAACATCCATTCTTTCAGTACTCTGCTGGAAATATTTCTCAGTCCATCTGATTCTAAAGTCTAGAGGTGGAAGCCTTTTTTTTTTAAATAGGTTTATCATTTAATACTTGTTCTTGTAACTAAATTATGTGCTGTTATACCATGTTACTGTACCTGTGAACTAGTTAGGTTAGATTCATCCAGCATATATTGCTTTCTAATGGAGTAAAACATGGCTAACTCTTTGCTGAGACTTTCAAAACATTCTCTCTCTTCATCCCAGTTTACCTGTCATAAGAGAAAATAAGAGCTATTCAGATTATATAAGAGCTAGAATGCTACTTTGCAAGAACATTACTGGCCCTTACCAAAGAGCAAAATTAAAAGGGTCCTAATTGTTCATTAAAAATCATCAAAATAAACTGCTGTTTGCACCATGTGGTGCTACAAAATTAGGATATATAAAAAAGCAAGGATAAGCACACTTCATATGAAAATAAGCTCCATAGATAATCTTGATGTGTTTTTAGCTATCTGTGGCTTACCTGTTAAGTTTTTTTCCTTTTGGAAGAGAAATGCGTCCTTAAACCCATTTATGCCACTAGAACACGAAGGTTTGGAATAATTCCACCACAGCATGGAGTCAAGTATATTTAGAAAAGGCTTTTTCGTTACTTCTTTTAAATGGTTTGACACCAGAACAATGCAAAAGAAATTACCACTTCTATCTAAACAGGGTTTGATACTCCCAAACGCTCTTACATCCAGTCTTCCTTCCACATCAACTTTTGCCAAGTTTCTTATGGGTTGCATTATTTTGTTCCTTCTTATTAGTCAGGATTTCAGAGTACATCTATAAATGCCACTTCTTGATCAGTGGCAAAGGAAAGCAAACAGCAGTATCTTCAAGTAATCAGCTTTAGTTAAATGTTGAAAAGCAACATACCTCTGTAGCCAAACGAAGGATAAACATAGGTAATCCCTCCAAGGGGGGAACATAGTTGTCTATGAGGAGTGGCAGTCCAGTCAGGTTTCCTACCTGCAAACATAACATGACCAAGCAGTCAATAAGGATGCGGATTTCCTGCATCAGCTGCCAGTTTTTTCAGAAATCTCACAAAGTTCAACAAGGACAAGTATAAAGTCCTGCACTTGGACAGAAGAATCCCATACACCAGTCCAGGCTGGGCACTGACTGGCTAAGCAGCAGCTCTGCAGAAAAGGACATGGAGGTTATAGTGGACAGTAAGATGGATACAAGTCAGCAGTGTGCCCTTGTTGCCAAGAAGACTAACAGCATGCTGGGCTGCATTAGTAGGAGTGTTGCCGGCAGATCGAACGAGGTGATTATTTCCCTCTATTCTGCACTAGTGAGGCCACACCTAGAGTATGTCCAGTTTTGGGTCCACCACTATAGAAAGGATGTGGACAAGTTGGAAAGAGTCCAGCAGAGAGCAGTGAAAATGGTTCAGGGACTGGGGCATATGACTTATGAGGGAACTGGATTTATTTAGTGTGTAGAAGAGAAGACTGATGAGGGATTTAATAGCAGCCTTTAACTACCTGAATGGTGGTTCCAAAGAGGGTGGAGCTAGACTGTTCTCAGTGGTGACAGATGACAGGACAAGGAGCAATGATCTCAAGTTGCAGCAAAGGAAGTTTAGGTTGGAGATGAAAAAAAAACTCTCATTAGGAGGGTGGTGAAGTTAAACTCAGTGGGAACAAGCTACCTAGAGAGGTGGTGGAATCTCCATCCTTGGAAGTTTTTAAGGCTCATCTTGACAAAGCCCTGGCTGAAGTGATGTAGTTGGGGATGGTCCTGCTTTGAGCAGGGGGTTGGACTAGATGACATCCTGAGGTCCTTTCCAACCCTAACTTTCTATGATTTATCACAGGGTAAGGGTATAGCTGACAAAGCACAAGTTAAATATGGATAGAGTTGCACAGAAAATTGTACCCATGCCCTACATGCTTCAGAAGTCCAGTCTTCTAATAAATGTATCAAAATGACTTGGGTAACCCTAGAGGTATCTAAAAATCTACCCTGAATTACTCAGACCAAAGGAGCTAGGGCTTACATGGGAGGTGAACACATAGGAGCCTCCACAAACAAGCATTCCTCCGCTTATCATGTCTTAACCCCTTTCAAAGCATGCCTGAAAGACTGTCAGAAGACACTATCCTTTATCTAGCTCTCTGCCTAGAGCGATTTCATTTCTTACCTCCAGCCACCCACAATGTTTTGATCCCCAAATTCAAGATTACTCTGGCATTTTCAATTGCTTTTTGAAACTGTTCCACTTTGCATGGAATAAATCAACAGACTACTCGATCAAGACTCCAGCTTATAGTTATAGCACTCACTAGGGACTAGGATATTAGTGCTCCAGTCCTTGCTCTACAGGATTTCTCATTCAATGAGTTTAATGCAGACTACCTTCAGTTGTATTTTTTAATAAATATGGAGCCCTGATCACTTTCAAAGTGAGCAGGAGAAGCTTCGGGAGATAGGTCCTCCTTACTGACTTCAGGCAACATGCTGGGTGTTTCAGAGCCCATTCTGCCTAACCTCACACCCTGTACAGGGAAGAACTTAGAGGCGCCTGGAAGGTGTGCTTTGCCACACTCAGCTGGCTCTAGCCTTACAACTATATACATCAATTTGGAACTATTCTTAAAGTAAGTCTGCATGCAGTTTTAAAAAAGACAAATAACATGTGACCAACACCTAGAGTTACCTACATAACTGCTGTAATAGAAGCATAGGCAAGAGTCACCTCATCAATTTCAAGAGAGAAGTAATCTTTCAGCATTTCAGTCTTCTTCTTTAGAAACTCAACAATGTACTCTGCAAGTCCTTCTTTTGGGCCATCCTCTTCTGTCCAGCCACTTTCAGGGTTCTCTAAAGCAAGCATCGCTAGCTCATACAGTGGTGCTGGTTCCTTTAAAAATCCAAAGACGACACAAATATTACCCACACAGCTCAAATCTTTAATATAAAAGTGATCCTTAACCACACATTTCCCAGTGTAATTTTTTGTGCAGTGAAATTTGCTTTTTCTCCTAGTAAACAGAATATGCTCCTCTTACCACTCTATAAAGCCTATGGCATGGTGGCTAAAAGTTGAGAACTTCCCAATATAATTCTGGTGAAGAATGGACAGAATGGGTAGATTAGGCGGCAAAGTTGCTGAAGGACTAGAATCATATGTTAAGAATGAAACCACCAATGTCAGAACTTGCAACAGGTGTGGAATTTATATCAGCTACGCTATGCTGATGTAAAGGAAATTAAATGCATGCCAGTACTCATCAAAATTTGACCTTCCCACCCACAGCCTGATGTGACCTACTCTGCATAAATAAAGAAAAATCCATATTTCAGAATAATACAAGATCAGAAACTGGTAACAGAGTACTCTCTCCAAAAAACTGTACATAAGGTTTGAAGAAGTTTATACTTACTGACAATCTTAAAACTCCAAAATTTGCGAAGTCAAAAACTAGTATCTGGTAGAAGAGCTCTTCACTACATTGAAAGAAAATAAAGTGAATTCATTATGGAAAGGTCTGTATCAGTCAAGTCTGTCACA